AAAAAAAAGAATACTTAGAAAGAAAACTTTTGATTAAGTAAATCTAAAAATTTTTCATATATAGTATATAATTAAATCACATGAATTGATGATGCCCTTGTAATAACGACTGCATTTGATTATTTGCATTTCGAGAAATTTTGAGATGAATCACTTTCTTTTGATAGTGCTAGTGATTCTTAAAAAAAAAAAAACGCTCGATACATACGCAACTAACCGAAAATGCGAAAGTTTAAATAGCAAATTCATAGTCAAAATCATAGCAGCCAATCAGATGTAATTGGCCATATTGTTTTCAAAATAAGAGCGCGTTGCTTTTTAAGTGAGAATTTTATTGTATCTGCGCGCAATTCTTATGGTCAAACGTTGGTCTTTAAATGCTTTTCGAATTATCATATTTACTTTTTATGGCAGTAAATTGACATTAAGGATAAACCTATTTCTCACTAGCTTAGTAAAGTACAAAGTTTGAAGACAGCAGTTTCGGTTGGCCTCCGTTATGAAGGTGTTATGTGTTGCCGAGAAACCCTCGATAGCAAAATCTGTCGCGCAGATCTTGTCTTCCGGACAGCCCACCATTGTAAGAAAGAACAACGAACTATAAAAGTTTTTAAATATTTTTAACCATTTCTTTGTCATTGACCTTGAATTGCATTACATAATTTCAGCGTTTTACGAGCAATAAATATGTTAAAAACTATGATTTCAGCTGCAAATCGCGCGGAAATCAAACAGTTCGAGTGACCATGACTTCAGTTCTCGGGCATCTTTTGTCGAGTGACTTTTCTTCCGAATATAGATCATGGGAGAAAGTATCTCCTCTGACACTGTTCGATGCGCCAATCGAGAAATTTGTGACCAAGGTAATAAGGGATATCGATCGATTCTTTGGAAACTCTTTGATATCATGCACAGGTAAATCATCACATCTGTTTCAATAGGAAAACGAGGTCATACGTAGGAATATCATGATGGAAGCGCGTTCATCATTTGAGGTAATGATATGGACGGATTGTGACCGTGAAGGCGAAAATATTGGCGCGGAAATTGTAGGGGTATGTCTAGAATCGAATCCAAATATAAAGGTGACAAGAGCAAAATTCTCTGCCATAATACCCCAGTGAGTTTTCCGAAAGATATCTTTTCGCACGTGAAGTTAACACGCTGCTTAAATAGACGTGATTCCGCAAGTATTTGATAAAAAATTTATGTGTATAGACAAATACATAACGCATGGCAGACACCGACGGACTTGGATTTTCGACAATCGGATGCAGTCGATGCTAGAATCGAACTCGATTTACGTATCGGGGCTGCATTTACCCGATTGCAGACATTATCTCTGAGAAGCTTTTTTCCGGAACTCGGTAACAGTGTGATCAGTTACGGTAAAGTCGATTTCGCGAATGTAAAATTGCGAAAGAATGATCATCAATCATTAGGCTGATCGTTTTAATGGGCTGTTGTTCAGGTTCCTGTCAATTTCCAACTTTAGGTTTTGTTGTAGATCAGTACCTCAAAGTTCAAAATTTTGTTGTAGAGGCATTTTGGAAGATTTATGTTGCGCTAGACAGGGACGACAGTGTTGTTGAATTTCATTGGAAAAGGAATCGCTTGTTTGATCGTCTAGCATGTCTGGTGATCTATGAGCAATGCGTGGAAAATCCATTGGCGACGGTTGTTAAAGTGACGTCCAAAGAGGTAAAAAAATGGTAATAATATAATAATCTTGGTATCTCGCTGACCACTCGGGTGACCTTTTTTTGAATTCTTCTGACCCGAGAATAAATTCTTCAAGGAAACCGTGTCCACTGACGACCGTTGAACTCTTAAAAGTTGGTTCACGAAGTTTACGCATCTCATCCGATCGAATCATGAGTGTAATTCTTTTCTGTGTTTCATTAATGTCAAACGTGTCGGGCACTCGGATTGTCGCTAACTATCGAATTATAATAGGTCGCCGAGAGTTTATACAATAAAGGTTACATAAGCTATCCAAGGACCGAGACCGATCAGTTTGACAGGCAATTTGATTTCAATGCCCTAATAGAAAAACAGTCACAGGATTCGCAATGGGGTGAATTTGCGAAAAAGTAAAGTATTTCTTCATTCTTTCCTTAATACCCGCCAGACTCCTATTCCATTTTACTTGACCGGATTCATGATATTAATTCTCGATTAGATTGTTGGATGGTGGATTCTGTTGGCCAAGAAACGGGCAGCACAACGACCATGCGCATCCTCCGATTCATCCTACCACCTACGTATCTGACTTGTCAGGTGACGATAAAAAAGTGTATGAATTTGTTGTAAGACGTTTTCTGGCGTGTTGCGCAGATAACGCCGTGGGAAAGGAGACAATAGTGGAGATCAGAATATGGGAGGAAACTTTCACCGCCAATGGTATACATTTATAGTCCTATTCCTGGTTTTTTTTTTCAAATTATCCTTCTATAACGTTTATCCGTTTATCCGTTCTTCGTTTGTTTAATAGGTCTCGTGGTAATTGCCCGGAATTACTTGGATGTTTATCCATATGACAGATGGGGTGGATCTAATTTACCGAATTTTCAAGAAACGGAAACCTTCGTCCCAACAGTGTGCGAAATGCGCGAAGGATATACAACCCCTCCGGAATGCTTGACCGAGGCCGATCTGATCAGCATCATGGATCAGAATGGAATTGGTAAAATTTTTGAAAATCACGTGCCTGCTATTTAGCGAATCCATGAATTTTTGCAATAAGTCCTCGTGATTTTTTGTGAGATCAGGTACCGACGCTACTATTCACGAACACATTGCAAAGATCATAGAACGAAATTATGCCAAGAAAGAGCCGAAGGGTGGTGCGACGTATATAGTCCCGTTGAAATTGGGTATCGCATTAGTCGAGGGATATGATTCTATTGGATTTGACCTATCACTTTCCAAACCATTCCTGAGAAGAGAGGTAGGAAGAAGCACAGTCAAATTTTGTGTGTGTATATTTATTATTATTACTCAATTTTCTCGTCTCTTAATGTTAGATGGAATCCAGCCTAAAATTTGTTTGTGAGGGTAGAAAACCGAAAGAGGATGTGGTCAAGGATAGCCTTGTTACATACAAAAATATGTTCGTTAAAACAAATCAAAACGCCGAAAACCTGATTAAGGTATCTTTTTTTTTTTTTTCTTCTTTTTCTATAAAAAAAAAAAAGGTGTGATTTCTAACACTTTATAAACGATAGATCATATCTAAATATTTGCTAATTGTCGGTGATGAGATTAACCTCGAAGTATTTGCCAATATGTTGGTAGGTTAATTCGATTTAATTGACGCCTTAAAAAAACTTCATGTGCTGAAATATTTTATCCTACCGAAGATTGACAATCGCCCAGAACCAACACGACCTATTCGAAAGTGTTTCAGCTGTGCAAGGCAATTAATACTGAAGACAAAGCAAAACGGAGGGTGGATGATAGGTCAAACGACATTGAATGTTTCTGTTTAATTACGTACCGAAATATTAACGTGTTTCAAATTTAATCTTCTGCAGGGTGTCAAGGCTATCCTCATTGTAACGCGGGAATTAAGGTCCCAGATATAGTTTCCGATATTTCGGTTTCATCGGATAAATGCGACCATTGTACGCAAACCTTGGGAAGCTTATGTTTCAAATTGAAGACAAAATTTATCAAGAGCAAAGTTCCATCGTGGATTCCCGAAGAAGTATGATTTCAGTAATAAAAAAAAAAAACCACAAATCTCTGAATTTTTTATGAACGCCAAAATATTTGTTAAATTTGTTAGGATTTAGGATGCGTCGGAGGCTGCAATGACTTTTTTAGCGAATATTTTGTACCGATCAGACCAAATCAGATGAAACGTATGCCTCTTTCGTCCTTAAATCAAAATAGTCGAACTTCCGTATGTTGAAT